GCTCTCGTGTAGCTTTGCACGAAATTCAAAACAAACAAATTGACAGAGGAATTATAGCAATGCTATCACAAGTGGAAGATAGTGTAGAAAAGTGGTTTTCAACCGCTGGTCTAAAGATGCATCCAATGAAGAAAATAACAACGAAAGAAGAGCCTTGTGAAAAATATATATAATTTGTACACGTGTTAAAAAGTCGTGAAACATTTTGTTTCCTTCTTCGTTCATTGTAAAATAAGATAATTTCCTGTTCAAACTTTCTTGAATAAACTAAGTTAAGAAACAGTATTTTTGACATTCTACTGAAACACCCCTTCTATGATGAGGATGACTATTAAAACTATACATAGGAATCCAGTGTGGAAATTGGATCGTCATTCTGAGTTGCCCTTGAACATTAAACTGAGACTGGAGAAGCTGGTAGCTAAAAAACAGGCTCAGAGGTCTCATTAGTCGGACATCAAATCATGCCATGGGTAAGTATCATCAAGACACTTACTTATGTATGTATTAGCCGTACTTACCCCAGCGTTGACCAGGTATTACCTGAACAGAGGGTCGATGTTAAGCTATTTTTTAAACAGAAAGGATCAAAATTTCGCTTTTCATGTAACAATATATGTCAAATGCATAAAGGTACTGATACTGATAAGAAAGACATACTGTTTTCAAGCATTCTATGAATATGAAATTAGTACGAACAAACATTTAAATATAATCATTTCCGCCAGTAATATGAATTCTAACAATTTCGTGAGTTTTTTCTTTAAACCTGTTGTTACAAAACAGTTCTTGCTTTTACATCATTGGCGGAAATGATATTATGAATTCTAACAGTTTTATGTGTGGTTTCTTTTAAAAAATGTAAAACAATAACAGTTTTACAACAACATGTTTTTAAAAAAACGTTGTACAGAATAAAACCAAAACTCTTGCTCAGCCCTCCAATTAACTGATAAAATCAATTACTCTCTCAACTAGTCAAACTACTCAAGTTACTTTGTAATTTAAAATCAATAACTATTTAGAAACGTACATAAACACAGTACCTATGTGGTTTCGATGTAAAATTAAACCTTTAGTTTTACAATGTATTATTTAAAGCATGAAAAAAATCTCTTTATTTTCTCTCTACATAATACCTACTATTGTACTTTCCTTATGTGTAGCCCCTAGTGGAACATTGTTATGTCTGCGGCCTTACACCACTAGAAACCGGTTTCGTTACCCGTGGTGGGCAGAGCACAGATAGCCCATTGTGTAGCTTTGTGCTTAACTTCAAACATACCAAAACATGCTCTATGTTTATTACATCGAAGCAATCAATTTATATTCTATATTCAACATAATTCTGTGTATATTTAATAATTTTAATACCAAATGTGTGTTATTGTTACGACTGTTGCCTAGATACCTATTTTAAAATGGAGTTCCACGGTTAGCGAATTTTTATCGCTCAGTACATTGTTGACCGATGAGAGCATCGGTAAGAGGGTCGAAACCACGCAAATAAAAGTATTTTAACATAGATAAAAGTCCGTGTATAATTTTACATATTAACTTACCTATGTTATGAGTCTTAAACAAATTTATTAGGAGCTAGTTAAGCATGATGGAAAATATCGCTTACCTCTCACTTTCTGGTAAAACTCACAGCTGCACTGCTCGTTCAGAAATAATTTTTGTTAAATGATTGAAGGAAGTTTTACATCATTCGTATCTCCTTCAATTTTTTAATCTTTTTTGATAAAAGTCGTCGTTAACCGTGCAGCAAAAAAACAAGTTCGACATTATTTCAAATTTGTTTTTTTCACTGCACGGGTAATAACGACTTTTATTTGAAAAGTTTTTATCAGTTTGCAAATCAGAAATACGAACAAACAACCAATTAAATGTAATAATTTCCGCCAATAATATGATTTATAACACTTCTATACGTGTTTGTTTTTAACCCGTTGTTATAAATCAGTTATTATTAGTTTGTTTTGTTTGTTTGCTTGTTTTGAATTTCGCGCAAAGCTACACGAGGGCTATCTGCGCTAGCCGTCCCTAATTTAGCAGTGTAAGACTCGAGGGAAGGCTAGTCATCACCACCCACCGCCAACTTTTGGGCTACTCTTTTACCAACGAGTAGTGGGATTGACCGTCACATTATAACGCCCCCACGGCTGAAAGGGCGAGCATGTTTGGTGTAACGGGGATTCGAACCCGCTACCCGCAGATTGCGAGTCGAGTGCCCTAACCACCTGGCCATGCCGGGCCTTATTATTAGTTAACATTTATTCCCTAACAATTTGTTGTACCAAGCGACAGATGGCAGCATATACTCCTCTCTTTTTGTGGCTTAAAGGCTATAAGACACATTTATAGGCTAAAAAAATTGGCCAACATTATTTGAGAAAAAAAATAATACCCAGGTGCACACCCTCAGAATCCCATTAGTATGCGTGAAAGGTTTCAGGTCTCTAGGTTTTTCCTTCTTGGAGCTATGGCGCTGAGTGACAGGCTGTTTTATTAGTATAGATAATAATGATAATTGAAAATATATGTAATTCTATTTGAATAAATATTGATATAATTTAAAACTCTAAAACCTTTGAAAGTTGGTTGTACAACCTATGTATAACTGTCTACATTCTGTGTAATTCATATTTATAAGTCGTATACTCTAATATAGGCTTATAGAGATTAGAAATATATATTCCTAATATTCCATAAGCTTTTTTACAGAGATTTTGCTGGCCCCTGACGTGAAAAGGATGGAAGCACTGATGTAGAATGTGATAAATCATATACAGATTGAATGCTAACTTATTTCAAATGCCATTACTGCATGAAAAAACAAAGAATGATCGCAGCTATTTTCATCATTAAGCACTACTACCAATATTTCTATGGGAGTAAATTTATTGTCAAAATAGACTGGGTCAGCAGTGTGAAAATGCCGAAGAACGTTTTTATAAGCAGATGAGAGCTCGTAGATTTGTAAAACATCCCGATCTATGACATAATATTGATAAGAAAGTTAAAATTTCAGTCATTGTATTAGACTATATTAATGGTGGAAGTTTTTTGATATAAGAGTTAGCACAAAGGATCACATA